CGGGGTTGCCGGGCTGCTCTTGAGGGGCGGGAGCAGGGGCAGGATGTGCCTGGACACTACCATCCAGGGCCATCGTGAAGTACTCTCGAGCCGGATCGAGAGAAGACGACGCAACGCCTTCGAAAAACCTTCCGAAGGAATTCTCCGAAAGTATGACCTCCCTAAGCTGGAGGAATCTCATCCCTTCAGTCAATCCTATATTGACCTCGTTGAAGCCAATATCCGCATCCATGACCGGGATGAACTCGGACTGATTCTGGCCATATTCAGACCAGTGGTTGTAGGGCCCTGCGTTCCCTTTCGGCCAAACGGGCAGCCAAACGTGGCCAAACGCCAAATCCTGCTTCTCGGCAGGAACTAACTCTTCCGTCCACGCCATGTTGTTGACGATGACCTTGACCATATCGCCGTTCCCGTTTCGGTGAAACCCAACAAGGCCATGGCTGGAGGGGGCTTGGCGGGACTGGAATTGGGCTTCGGCCTTCTGATTGGCCCTCTCCATGTCTGCTATGGCAGCCGCCCTGTCCTCGGCGCTTGCGCACTTGTTCTTGTCCCAGTAGCCGGGCATGCTGAATTGCTGTTAGGATTGTTTTGGGTTTATGAGTTCCTAGTTGTAGCTCACTTGAAGGTGGAAGGTAAAGTACTTGACTTTACTTTTGTGTTGGTGATGGTGGTAGTAGTAGTGGTAGTAGTAGTGTGTTGGTAGCAGAGGTGGTGATGGTGTTGTATGTCTTGAAGGTAAGTTCGAAGACAATCTTGATATCTAACTTGGTATGTGTAGAGTCAAGAGTCGGATATCTGCTAAAGAAAAGAAAGAGAAGGGAAGAGAGGAATGCGCTGCGTTTTATAAGAACGAAGGCGCAGCAGGACTCCACAACGGTTGTGAGTCTTCAGCAAGATATTATTAATGGGAAGAAAGAGATACTATGGAGCGACCAACATATGAGCACCAGAACCATGTCACGAACATGAACACTAGCAGCTGAGTCGCTGCTATGATTATGGGAGGACGGTCACCGATAGCAAAATCAGACGTAACCTTGGAAGAGGTGAGGGTATTGTCACTACAGAGTCATCTTTCGCGGCCAACTCTCCCGACACCAGTATGGATGCCTATGTTTCCACACATATTGGTCACAGGAACGACTGAAATGTCTTTGTGCGAAAGCGGCCACTGGATCTAAGCGACTGAGTCTTGCTCTTTCGCGGGACTCGAGGCGAATCGACACCATTATTCAGCGATTACAACGCGACAAAGTCACGTATCACGTTCAATTCATTCAAAGCGCGCTCTCAGTATGGCCAAAGCTTCATTCAGCGCTCGAAAATCAAGACGATGCACGCCACATCAACTCCCCATCATCCGTCACACAGACGCATATGCGAAATTCCAGAAGCCATTCACCCATATACTGAGTACTGAAAGGCACATGACACGACCCAAGGACCAGGTTACCATGACCAGACGAGAAGTAACAATGCCTTCCCCTGAGCCATGGATGCGCAGTGAAGCTCTGGGAATCATAGGGCAGAGGTGCACGGACACTGTTTTGAGAAACCATGGATGCTATGGGTGCGGTGGCAGTGCTATGAGTCTTACGGAGCTTTTGGCCGGGTAGTGGAAAGGGCGCTACGAGATGAGAGAATATGGCAGGGGCGTCGGCGCGCATATTCGAAATTGCGGGTGTGTGTTTGGTCGTGTGGGAAACCGCTTGAGCTGGAAGAGCAACAAGATGAGTAAGCGGCTTTGGCTAGCTCAAAGTGTTGCCTGGCTTTCCTTTGCGCTGGGAGTAGGGAGTGTGCTCTCTGTGGGATATCAGTAGCATCGCTGATGGTCAATGGCCAGGACGCTATCTAAACATTTACACAACCGGGTCTATTGTTACGAGGAGTGGAGTCGATGCCTTGCGGAGCTTTGATGAGTCGGTTTGCTACTTCATGCTGTTGTGATGTAATGCTTATGACGGTGTCGTATTCTGCCCGGGCAGCCACGAATTAAGAAACGCTTTAATCTCATCACACAGAGCCTACAGAGTATAATGTCGTATGGCCAATGCAAAGTACAGTATTGTATAGTTAATGCAGGCTATGTCTTCCGCTTTTCCTACAGGAAAATCCACCCCTCTAGACACCGATACCGACCACCGACCGCCAACGCCGAAGAATGCGCCCACTGTAAAGCCAACCACGCCAAACGCTATGCTAAGATGCAGTAGATCAAAACTAAATGGGTATCGTAACAAATGACACGGAAGAACAGCAACAAGAAACAACACCACACATCTCATCACCTCCTGGCCGGCGGTGACAGCAACCCGCTGCTAACCGACTCTCTCTTCAGATCTTCCTTCTCACCCAGTAATGCCTTGACTCTCTCCACTCTTGTCACGGCCTTCTCCAAGCGATCCAGCCTGCCCATCTTCTCCCTGTCCCTGCGTTCTAAGGTCTCGACTCTTTCTTCCAGCTTAGCTCGCGCCCGTCGCTCTTCCGCGACCATCTCGTTGGCCTGACTAAACAATTGTACGCTCAGTTCTTCAATCTCGGAATCTACAGTCTGAACACGTGCTTCCGCCTTGGCACGTAGGGCACGCTCGCGCTCGAGCTCGTTGAGTAGGGTGTAGTCGACCGGTGGTGCGTGGGACGGGTCTTTCGGTGGTGGAGGCGGAGGCATGCCCCCTGTATTCGCCGGCGACGGGAAGCGGCTTGTGATGAAGGAGAAGCGGGAGGCCTTTGTGGAGTTTGCGGTTGTGGGACGTGGGGGATCGGCGTCGACGGAGGGGCGTGAGGACGGGTTGGGTATGTCGGATTGTGAGGTTTGGGTCCGGGGCAGTTTAGGGGCGTTCTGCGTCGCTTGGAGGCTGCGGATTTGGTCTTCGTAGTCGGCGCATCTGTCGACTAGGCGATGTTAGTATGTGTGGGCTCCGGTGTGATATGACGTCGGACGCATAATGGGGGCGTACCAGCTGCTGTAGCCTTCTCCTTCAGGCGCTCCATTTGCGCCTCGAGCTCCTCTATCCTCTGTCTCGCGTCTTGCAACTCGGCCATATCTATGCTACTGCCACAGGACGGACAGTTCGGGGTGTGCGCCTCGTTTGGGGCGTGTTTCGACGGCACTGGAGGCGCTGGCGGCGATGCTTCGATGCTCGCGGCCATGACTGCGCCGGTGTCCTGGGTTTCGGGGTCGTAGTAGTAATGTTTCGTTATCGCCGGTGGCAGTCGTGCGTGGTTTGAAGAATAAAGGGAGATTGTGGGGTTTGGGTCGTGGTCGTGATGACGGAAACTTGCTGGGTTTCAGGTGATCGGCACCTGTCTTCGTCATGCAGGGATCACGCGCGTGCGGGCGCTATGTCCATATCTGGACTGACGTGTTCAACTTTATCTGACAGTATCCACTTCGCGCGGATCACTTTGCTTTTGGTCTCGTTCAAGGGTCTCACGCAATACAGAAGAGGACGCAGCTGTGAATGCTCGGGTCTCGTTACTATCTCGACTAACGGTAAGCTTCAGTCTACGCGAATGCGGCCTTGTTCTGTTTGACCCAGTCCTCCAGCTTCGTCGGCTCCCGCTCCGTGTACTTTTTCACGTTCTCCACGGCGTCCTTGTAGATTTTGCCATAATCATCCTTCCCGGCGTTACTCTCCCGCATTCCCCGCGCCAGTGTGTCGAGTATAGGTTTAGGCATGTGCGCCAGCTTCTTGAACCACCTCTCCTCGTCAATCTCCTTGACTTTGATCTCTTTCCCCAATGCTTTGCCAATCACAGCCATACCCTCACGCTGGGTCAGAAGTTCAGGGCCACACAGATAGATCGACTGCCCCGCTTCTTTCTGGAATCGTGGCTCTGCGAGAAGTGTGCCGCACACAGTGCCGATATTTGAGGGAGCGAGGTAATCGAACCGCACGTTGGGGTAGAGGATCTCGACCTCGCCCTGCTTGATGTCTGCGGTGTACCAGAAAACGTTGCTACTAAAGTATGCGGGTCGGACGGCGGTGTATGAGACGCCAGTCTCTCGCAATGCGCTTTCAGCTGCGGAGTGGAGAGCGCCAATCATATCCGTCTTGTTGGCTTCTGAGTCCAGAGGATCTTCGACCTTGAAAGAAGACAAGAGGACAATGTAGGTTACACCGGCCTCCTTGAGCGCTTCGAAACTGCTTCGCATGCCGTCTTCGACCTCATGTACGACGTATACGAAGGCTGTCTTGGCACCAGAGGTCTTGACCGCGGTTTTGATGGTCTCGGGCTTGGCCAGATCAGCTTGGACGCGGACAAAGCTGTCACTGTTTCCCTCTTCCTGGATGCCTTTCAATGGCTTCTTCGTGTCGCGCATGGCGAGGTACACCTTGGCACCACGCTTGTGTGCTTCATTGGCAGCGGCGCTGCCTACTGCTCCAGTCGGACCGAAAACGAGAACGGGAGAAGTCATGGTAAATCGTGGAATATGGCTGGAGTACTCTGAGTTGATGTGAATGTATTGAAGGTATTGTTCTGTCTCTGTATGCGATATCGAGTTGCTTTATCTAATGTTCGCCAAAAGAAATCGCTGGTTGCCTCCTCGGCGTCCGCGGCACGAGCTAACGGCCTCTCGGTTTCTCGGTATACCAATGCTGTTCGGAACAAGGCTGCGTTACCACTTATGTCGTTACGTGCATATCTTAACACACACAAGGGTATGTTTAAGCGCTCTCCTCGCACCTCCTCGCTATCCGATGTGGGCAAGAACACGACGGTCGGGACCCCGAGGTCGCCGTGGATGACGTCATGGATATCGACATCTCCTTCAATCGTGTGCTGCACTGCGCGACGTGAAGATCGTCCACACCGCAGCGTAACATCCACCTGGACCTGTCCTTCGAATTTCGGCCATGAACTTACTCCTTCGCGAGGTTACTCAAAGTATTGCCATACTGCCACGGAACCCGCGCGCATTAGCGCCAGTTTTCCGATTACTCAACAATGGATACTCTTGAAACGCTACGAAGAGACAGCTAAGCCTAGGAGGCTCACTGAAGCTGGCTGTACATGTTGTGCACCCGATCTGGGACCTGCACGCTGCTCCTGTTCTCACTACGTATCTCATGTACGATCGTTCTCGTTATTTCGCGCTTTCCAGGCAGCTCTGAATCGCCCAGTATGCACTTCTCACTATCTCCATCATTGAGGTCGTCTTTTTGGAATCGCGAGAGACCTCGCGTTGGTCGGCTGCCGACGGTAAGGGGTGGTCCGACGTTATACAGTGGTATTCCGTTGCTACCAGACCCCGTCTTGGATCCCATTCCCAGAAAGGTCGACGAGAGAATGCGGCGGAAGAAGCTGTCGAATTGCTTTCGGAGTGCGGGTAGAGACGCGACAAGTATACCGACCGAGAGTTCTGATGCGGACCAGATGGCGAGGTTGACACCGTCCCATGTTGGATCGGCTGTCTTCATCAACGCGGAAAGCTCAATGGTCTTTGCAACTGAACAAGCGGTTGCACTGATGGCTGGCTCAGTTGATGTCAATGTAAATCCCGGAGAGCACTTACATAAGGCCAAGACAGAACACGATACGCAGACCCCATTGCGTACGCCTTGGTAACTGGATGGTGGACAAGTATATGATGGGTGCGACGACGTATATCACGTCAGTGACACAGTTGGCAACTCCCTGTTTTGTCCTCAGCTGGTTACGCCAACAAAGCAAACATAGAGAGGACTGACCTGACTGTACGTGAGAGGCGAGCTGGTCTTAATGAAGCACTTCCCTTTCACGGTTTTGTTCCAATTTGCCTCGAACGGTGTACTGCAAAAGCAGCCCATGATAGGCAAAATCAGATTGAACGTAGTGACCATCAGGATCGAAGCCCACACCACCGCGAGGTACACTCGTGAGAATTTAAGGGCTAGAAGGTAGCCACAAATCGAGTACTTTAGCGTTGCGACTGCGATAAGGTTTAGGATCTGCGTGATCCAGAGGTAGTACATGTAGTTCAGCATGTCGTAGGGCATCATGATGCTAGGATCCCGACTATGACGACCCAGACCATGCTGACATGTTTTAAAGCGGATTCCCGACGCTGCGACGTTTAGCATCTGGGCCCAGACTAGTCAGCATAATCTTGCCTTCTTGATAAAGCTACTGGTTTGACGAACTGCTGCAATTATGAGAAGGTAATCGTGTAGTACAAGCTTCCGCTTAGCCCTGATACTATACACAAGTCGCCATACGAGTACCGCAGTACTCAATATGCACAAGATAGTCGAGGGAATTAGGAAGACGGGCGCGCGATTTGGCCATTCCTGCTGCTCGCTTGGTGCCATTGCAGATGCCGATATTGCGTAGATGCAGTGCGAACCCGAAAGGAGGGAGAAACGACATCAGTTGGCAACGTGCGCAAGGTGGCACTCTTTATTCCCGCCGTTCGCCCATCTGAACCTATTGGGTACCCCAGGATCTCGGGAGGGCCGCTGGAACGCCCCGTTCATCCTATCGGCTGGGGATCTCTTCGGAATAGCTCACGCGAGCATGGCGTTTCATCATCTGCCATCAGTAGCAGGGAACCCCAGCATCTACTCCGCTCTCCGCTTCCAGCTTTTACGCAGTCTTCAATCTCGTGCCAAGATGTCGTAAGGACTATACTATTCATGCACTTGTGCGGTATCACTAATTCCCTTTCGTCATCTATGCACGAGGATCAGGCTCGAGGTTGTGATGATGGGCATGAGACCTCTACACAAAACAGACATAATGGTATCAGCATGCGCTCCAAGATATAGTAAGCCGCAGCATACTTGAAGTCAGTTGCTTGCTGCTGGCCAACCATCCAACCATAAGTCTTGATGCTGACTATACTAACCCAACAATACACGAGTCTGGATACGATCGTGTTGGGACGCATGGATTGGTCTGGCTTCCTGAAATCCTTCGAGGCGCACGTTGCGAATAAACGTGACAGCTATGCATGCTAAGAGCCACAGAACTGGGTATGAACCGTGCCCGTGTGGCTGTCATCTCTTGGGCTTCGTCACTCCATCGGGTGTAAGCGAAAGCTGAAAAGGCTGCAATGTCGGTGTGATGGCCCCAAGAGTTGGAAAGATCAGTTCGCAAAGGCGGTTCCACAAAGCTGCAGTGATGTAAATACACCTCTTGCGTGCTGTATCGCGCTGTACATGTTTCTTCCCTTCACGTTTGTAGCAGACCTTGAAGCAGTGGTTCCACGCCACCTTGGCATGCTTCGGCCAACCAATACTTGTCATGTGCTCCAGGGTCAGAACACAGCCCTTGTCGTTCGTTGGATGCCTCGACATCGTAGACTTGGCAAGCGTGCAAGCGAGGCTCGGGGCGTCGGCTGGTGAGCCAATTAAGGTCCCGCCGTCCCGTCCCATCCCGCGACGATGCTGACTGCCCAACAGGCGGAAGAGGATTCGTGACCTGCATCAGCCAGCCGGTTAAAATTGTGTGCTGACAGCTGTTGGCATTTGATGAGAAAAATGTTAAAAACCCCTCACATAAACAATCACCACGGGGCGTAATAGGTGAGAGGAGTTCTCGTAGAGCCGGCGGTCCACAACAGTAGACCCTCCCGACTTAGCAGCATTAATTAATTAATTAATATTAGTTTTACGCCTATATATAACCTTCTAGAGAGTATTCTAGTAAGTACTACTAAAAAGTTATAGTAGTTATACACTACTTTATAGGCCTATTTTAAAGTAAATTATATATATATTAAAAAGAAGAGAAAAGCTTCTAAGTACTTTTTATACTTATTATATTTAGTAGTAATACTACTTTTTAGTAGTATTAAAGTAGCTTACTACTATATTAGATAAGAATAAATAGAAAAATAGTAAACGTAAATATAAAATAATAAGAAAATAGTAAATAAAAGTAGGTAATAGTAGCTTTTAAGCTACTAGTACTCTACTAAAAAATACTAAGAAATTTAGTAAGTCTTAGTAAATTTAAATAAATTTATAGTATAATTACGCTACTATAGTAGTTTATTACTTTAATAAAGAATATAAATTTATTAGGCTAGTCTATTAATTCTTTAAGATACTTAAGCTTCTTTTTTTATATACTAAAGAAGGTATTAAAGTATAGAGGCTAGTATTAAAACTTTAACTAGATTCTTTTATAAAAGATAATATATTTAAAAGTTTTAGCTTTACTATATATATACTCTAAAGTTATATCTTTATAGTTAAATCTTTAGTAATACTAAGTAAAGTTTCTATATTTAGAGTAGATTATTAGAGCTTTAGCTAGTATACGCTAGAGTAAAGTTAGTATAGTTAGTAGCTATTTAGTAGCGTAAAATAGTTACTATTATAAGTACTAAGTAAATAGTTTACCTCTTTTAGTATCTTACTAGTTTTAGTAAGTATATTCTAGTAGGCTCTAACTAATTAATTTAATATCTAAATACGTAAAGTTATTTACTTAACTAACTAGTAAATATAAGTTTTTAGCTTTATTATTTACTATTTAGTCTACTAGTTTATTTTTAGAAATACTAGTGTATCTAAGTACCTACTATACTTATACGTTATAAGTATTTATAATACTATATATCTATAAGAAAGCCTATTAAAATAATACTAGTACTTATTCTTAGATACTCTAAATAATAAAAATACTATTAATATAGAGTATAATCTCTTAGTAGCTAAGTAGAGTAAGATAAACTATATATATAAAATTTCTATAGGCCTCTATTACTTTTATATTAAATATATAAAAAAAAAAATATAATAAGCTCTAGCTAGTTATTAATTTAGTCTAGTCTTAGTAAATAGCGTACTTATAGATTATAGCTCTTTAACTTTTAATTTATTACTTAAAGCTATCTAAGAAGATAGTTACTATTATTAGACTAAGAGCTTTTTACTATACTATAAAAGTAGCTATAGCTTTAGTTTTAGCCTAGCTAAGAGTAAAGTCTTTTTATAAGCTTAGTAAGAAATATTAAATATTAGTTAAAGTTAGTCTAGAGATAGTAAGTAGAAGCTAAGCTATCTATTAGACTTTAGATTAAGAGTATTAGTAACCTCTAGTACCTCTACTTTATTAAATAGAAAGTAGTGTAATTCTATTTACTAGTAGGTAGAAACTATTTATACTTAGTAAGTGTACTAATTATTAGAGCTTAATCTCTTCTAGAGCTACTACTACTAATAGTATAGTAGCCTCTCTTAGTATAATAGTATTTAGTATAGTTTACTACGCTAGTAGTATAGCTCTTATAGTAGTTATTATAGTATAGTCTATTATAGCTAAGTACTACTTAATATAAGTACTAACTATAAGCTTTTAAAAGGCTCTAATAATTTATAAATTCTTTATTCTCTTTTTATACTAAGCTTTAGCTTTATAAAATAATAATAGTATAATATAAGTTATAACTACTTTATAAAGAGACGTAGTAAGTAAACTATAAGTAGTATTTATAAGACTTTAAAAGTAGTAAAAGATCTTTTAAGTAACTACTACTTATTTAGTAATATAAGTTTTAAAGGTTAGTTTTTTATTAAACTATATCTCTAGCTAGCGTAAAGCTGTCTAGCTACTATTTACTTTAGAAAGAATAGTGTAAATTTCTTAGTTATTAAGCTAGATATAAAGAGAAAGTAGGCTCTATTTTTTTATTAAATAAATTAGCTTAGTCTTCTTAAAAGTAAACGTAATTTTATTTACTACTTTCTATTTATTAATAGACTTTAAATTAGAAGCTAGTAATATAGTACTTTTATCTAGAGAATAGACTATTTTATAGATATAAATATTATTAGTATACTTAAAGTATAATTATTAGTTCTAGTTTAAGAGTTTAGCTAAGTAGAAAGTGTAAAAAACTAGTAATAGTAGTAATTCTTAGAGTATTCTATAGCGTATAGAGTAGACTAGAGTAGTAGCGTTTTCTAGCTTTATATAAATAGTTTTATTAGATAAAAACTTTTAAATAAGCTTTCTAAGAATTAAAGGCTAGCTTTAGTCTTTAAGTTATTAAAGAAACTAATTCTTAAGTAGCGTATTAAATATTTCTTAAATATCTATAGTAGCTATAAATATATACTTATACCTAAACTAGGCTATTTCTATATTATAGATAAAAAAAGTAACTAAATTTATAGCTAAGCGCTTAGGTAGCGCACCTCTATACTATAAGCTAAGAATATTATATACTATAGTAATATAGGCTATCTACTTTATAATAATTTAGTTAAGACTTTTACTTATATATAATGTAAGAGTAATAAGTTTTATTAAGTAGAGAAAGAACTTATTTTTCTTTCTAATCTTTAGAATTATAGCTACCTCTACGTTACTCTATATATCTTTATAATAGGCTTTAGTAAAATACTTTTAGTAAATAGTATATATAAAGTACTTAATATATAACTAGTATACTTTAAGTAATTAAATAGTAATCTTATTAGACTTAGAGAAAATACTAAAGACGCTAATTATACTCTTTTTAACTTCTTTTATTAAAATATAAGTATTCTAAAGTAAATACTTATTAAGTAACTTATCTATAAAAGAAAAGAGCTTAAAGAAGTTATTTTCTACTAAAAAGTAGTCTAGTATAGTCTTTTATAGAGTCTTAGCTTTCTCTAAAAGTATAGTAAAAGTTTAGCTATTAATAATTAGTAAAGTATCTATTTAGTTAAATATTATCTTATACTACCTAACTAGCTTATAAAGATTCTAGTTAGAGATATAGAAATTAATATAGTATTGCTAATACTCTCTCTTAGCCTTTCTAACTCTAGTAAAAAATACTCTAGTAGCGTCTAAGAGTAGCTTACTATTAGAGGCTTTATTTCTAATATAGACTCTATATAAAACTTAGCACTTATCTATTTACTAAAGTACTAAGTAGCTTAATTTATAGACTAGCTTACTAGTAACTTTAATAGTATTATTTATAGCTTTAGTAATGTTTACTATACTATTTTTAATTTATTATACTATTAAGTTATAGCTAATAGACCTAAGACTA